TGGAAGAGTCTGTCTGAAGAGTCTGCTTGGAAGAGTCTGCCTGGAAGAGTCTGCCTGGAAGAGTCTGCCTGGAAGGGTCTGCCTGGAAGAGTCTGTCTGGAAGAGTCTCTCTGGAAGAGTCATACACATGGACATATTTTCTAACTGCCTCGGCCTCCTGCAGGGTTAGAGGTAGGGCAGCCAACTTGGGACCAGGAAGTCACAGTTCAACTCTCAGCCATTCCCACATGTCATGGTGTCTTTAAACAAGACACCCAATCCCCAATTGCTCCTCGGGTGCTTACTTATATATCTGCCCACTGCTCCACCTGGGTGTGTGTCGCTCCACCTGGGTGTGTCTCACGTGTGATGGGTTAAATGCAGAGGACTCATTTTGCTGCCGTTGTATGGGAACATATGATGATGACAATCTCAGACTTTCCTTCCTCAGATCTATCCATGTGGCTTGCAACCATACCAGCCGGCTTCTGAAAGCAAACTAGCTGAAGTGAAATGACAGCATGGCTTTTCAAGAGCTTCTCCTCATTAACTAACATGCAAACTTCTGACCACTCACACAATACTTTGTGCATACTCCATTAAGAGAAAGTTTGGCCTGGGCCTTGTATCGAGAAGGGGCAGACTACTGCCAGAACAAAACGATGCAAATGTCATCACACAACTACGTCAGCCACTTCTTGGCTTTGGATGGAGTATAAAACACCACTAACAGTTCAGGGAATATCTTTGGTTAAAACTGATGTGCAAGGTGATATGCATTCCTTTATTTTAATTTATGGATTGCTCTGCAAACCTCGCAATGCCACCATGTTCATTTGTTTATTTTGTTTTGAAGATGCTCCATTCTGCAGAGGTGGCAACAGCAGGGGAACCCACACAGAAGATTTGGGTTTAAACCCGCAGCCTCAGGATGACAAGACTACGGCACCGAACCTATCATGGCTTTGAAATGCTGCTGATCATGCTGCTGATCTCGTGCTGCTGTATTCATTCGTACTCATCTGCTCAGACTCATATTCGTGCTGCTGTTGTTCGGTGTAATGTTTTGCACTATTAAGTGTTTAGCATATTTCTTAGTTCATATCTTAGATCTTATTACTGTTTTTCTTTTACAGTTTATACTTTTGTTGGCGGTAACTGGGACCCGTACACAATTTTGTTCTACCCAATGTACCACGAGATGCCAATGACAAAGAAAACCTTGACTTTGAAATGCCAACATTTTTATGATGACTTAAAAAAATACTATATGAGAACTGCTTTTAACACAATGAGCACTAAAAAAACAACAATAATCCAGGTATACAATCCAACACTTTTCAGTCAGGTCATCTGGACCGTTTCGTTTTTTTTGTGTGTGATGCTGAAACATTTCACCTTCAGCACCTTGAGCATGGACTTTGTTGGTTTTGAACCAGCTTGACATGACTGTCGGCGAGGAAAAGGGCCGGCACGGGAGGAGGGGGCGTGCCAAAGAGACCATTTTAGCACCATCATAACTGGTTTGTTCCACTTTGGAGTAAGCTGTTAAGGGAAGAATCAGTTTTGTCTTGTGTGTTTCCTTCACTGATGAAGCCTTCTGGATGGAAGGTAAAACGTTTCAGAAAAAAAAAAAAAAAAAGAAACTGTCCAGATGACCTGACTGAAAATTGTTGGATAAGGCCTTAGGACCGTATGTCAAGCTTCCCTGTTTTCAGTGTCTCATACTTTTTGTGATTGTAAAAGTTGTTAAAAGTTACTTTTGCACAAAGTTCTCACCAAAAGGATTTATTATCTTAAAGAAAAAGTTGCCTGAAAACTTTCATTCCTAATCTTCTTGTGCTGAATAACATCACAATGAACCAAAAAGGTTCAATTCTGAAAGAAAAATCTTTTTGAAAACAGTGAGGAAAAAAAAATAAATAAAAAACAACTGTTTCTGACAAAGAATGTTGAGAAAAGGTTGTTAATATAGAAGCAGGTAGTCCTCTGGCAGAACTTCACTGTACATTTATGAACTTTTGAATTAATGATGTGTCTGAGCTAAAACAAAAAAAAAGAAAAAGTTTTGAGGGTTTGGTGGAAAAGGGTGTCAGATGTTTGTGTCTATTTGGCTTATTAAGTCTTCTTTAGATATGCCTAAAGATAACTGAGTAATATAAGTAATGTTCAAAAGCGTGATTGTTTAATCACATGAAGCTAAATTTGGCTCCATTAGTACTTTGTAGATTGGTTTTGATCCAACAGAAAAGGGTAGTTCTGATCTTTTGAAGTGAGATTCTGCTGAGAGGTCATGACGAATAAAAATCTTACCTGTGTTAGATAACCAATGAACAACATGAGTGGAGAAACAGTTATTTTAAGATGGCATTAATTCACTTCAGCGTTGCTTCTGATCAAATTAGCTGTTAGCTCATCCATCCATCCATCATTTTTACACGCTTCTTCCTTTTCAGGTCACGGGGGTCACTGGTGCCCATATCCAGCAGTCACTGTGCGAGAGGCGGGGGACACCCTGGACAGATCTCCAGTCCATCAAAAAGACACAGAGACAAACGAGACAAACAACCATTCACTCTCTCACAGGGGAAATTTAGAGTTAACCAATCAGCCTGACATGCATGTTTTTGGTCTGTGGGAGGAAACCGGAGTACCTGCAGAAAAACCACTCATGCATGGAGAGAACATGCAAACTCCACCCAGAAAGGTCCCCAGCCAGGATTCGAACCAGCAACCTTCCCACTGAGAAGTGACAGCGCTACCAACTGTGCCACACACTCATCCATCCAGTTAGAAATAAACTCAGTTTCTCCAAAATGAGGGAACTCAAAGAGCTGTCCACAACATGTGAATTACTACTACATAACTTTGTAGCATTTTAGCTAATATCTAAAACTATCTAGGCAGTGTTGACCGGAGTAGAGTTGAAGGAAGCTGTAGTGAGAATGGACAACAGAAAGCTGCATTTGACTATAAGGAACTATTGGTAACGGGTGGCACGGTGGCGCAGTTGGTAAAGCTGTTGCCTCTCAGCGAGAAGGTCGCCGGATCAAATCGCAGCTGGGGACCATTCTGGGTGGAGTTTGCATGTTCTCTCTGTGCATGCGTGGGTGTTCTCTGGGTACTCAGGACTTCTGTTCAGTAATTGAAGACTGGTACGTTGGTATCAACATTATCAATATTTGGATTGATCTGCAGCATACCCCTAACTCAGTGGTGTAAAAGTTGAATGAAATGTGACATTACAGTTCAGACTAAGGTTGTTTTAAAAAATAAATACATATAGATATGTAATATATCTTGGTTGAATTTTTTGGGAAAAAAAAATCAGATTTGTCATGTTCAATTGTCAAAAAAATACAATACGGGTCCCATATGGGCGATAAATCTCATTTGAATCGCTTTTACTTGCTGTGTGAATGTAGCTACTCTAACTCTAACTAGTTATGACTTTTTGGAGGACCACTTTGAAAATAACGGCACTATTTCTTTAAGACATTTCTCAAACTATGAGGTGTGCCCGCTTAATGTTTTTTGTTTTTTCTCCCCTGTCCGGAACATGAAGCAGGTGGAACTAACATTGCAACGTCTTGTTACAGCTTGAACCTATTGTAGATATACAAAAAACAGCAAAAAATAAAAATAAATACTATAGTTGAAAAACCTACTATATATGTTTGTTTCAACAAAGTTAAGTCAGGTCCTCTGGAAAGATTAAAAAATAAAAATTGTTGAAACGTTTTGTCTTTCATCCAAAAGACTTTATCAGTCCAAGGCGCCACAATAAACTCAGTCCTATAAGTAGCACACTCACATAGTGGGCCAACCAGTTTGATGGTGATAGGATGGTTTCTGGAGTCCACCCTCTCCCCCACCAACTCGTCTGAGGCAGCCATGACAAAAGTGGTTCAAAACATCAAAGTTCATGTTCAATAATCCAGGTAAAAAAAAAATCCAACAAAGTTAAGTCAGGTCCTCTGGATTATTTCTTTGTGTTGAAATGTGCGGGGGACTGATGAAGTTTATTGGATGAAAGACAAAACGTTTCAACACAAAGAAACCATCCAGAGAACCTGACTTAACTTTGTTGGATTTTTCTACCTGGATTATTGAGCACAAATCAGGATTTTTGTTGTTATTTTTCTCTTGAACAGACCATAAGTTTGTCAAATGGAGATGTGTGTTATTGCTAGAATCGAGGATCACTAAACTAAATTTATTCTCCAGGAAGGTAAAAATATTTTGGAGAAGCACCATTTTAATCTAAAGCTAGGGGTCCCACCTGGATGGGGCCCTAGCCGTCGGGCCCAGGTGCTTGTGTGGCTTATGTACGCCTCTGGTATGAACACAACTTCGTGTCATTCACAAAGAAAATAAAATGGGGTAAAAATATATGAACTAAACAACTATTAAAATGCACTGTAATGGCGCAGATGGGGTAGACAAAACATTACTTTTTACAAACTAGTGACGGAAAACTTTTTTTTTTTTTTCAAAATGGCCCCTCGGACGTGCGCGTGCTGCCCATAAAGCACACGCTCGTGAAGCGATAGTTGTGTCTCGGCGGGTGTAGCTAGCTGCTGGAGAGTTAGCGCCACAGAGAGCCGACCTGCTGCAGTTGTGTGCGGGCGCCGCTGGGTGAGTCCCGCTCTCCGCCGCCTCGGTGTCCACAGCTCCCTTTTCCCAAAGAAAGGAAGAGGAGATCCAGGTCCGGGCAAGGAGGAGGAGGAGGGCCGCCGCCATTATTCGGGGGGGAGGGGGGGACAGAGCTGACAGAAAGCCCCTCACTTTCACTCGCGCGCGGCCTTGCTCGCGAATACACCGAGACACGAGCGGTTTGTGCGGCGGCAGGAGGCTTTTATTTGGACCGAGGCCGCCGGGAGGGCGAATCCGCCGAGCTCCGTGCTGCCTCGCGCGCCGCCGGCCCTGCGTTATTCTGCGGCCACAACAATGGACTGAATAATTACTGGAAAAAGCAACGTGGTGAGCCGAGAGGGAGACGACTTTTAGAAGCACACCTTTATTTTTATTTTTTTTAATCCCTCCATCGATTCCGCTTTAACACAATAAAAAAAGAGGGGAGGTTTCTTTTGTTTTGTTTTTTTTAAGGATATTTATAAATTGTTTACAACAATAATAACGCTGCTGCGAGGAGCCCAGGGATGGGGACTCGGTTCGGATGAGCCCATCGCAGTGATATCGGCGCAGTCTGCGAACGGTTCCGACCCGCAGCTGTATATATATATATTCTGCGGCTTTTTGCTTATTGCACATCAGGCTGCGGCAAGAGGAGGAAGAGGAGGAGGAAGAGGAGCTGCTGGCCTGACAGATGCAGGAGGAGGAGAAAGGCGATGGTATGTATCCGACATGCTCTCTCCTCTTTATTGGTGAAGACAACTGTAGGCTCCTCTTTAATCATGGTGTCGGTGTGCAAGAAGGCAGGTCAGCCCAGATATCTCCCCCACCACCTCCAGTTTCCATTAAGGCCTGGTCAGCCCCTCTCTGTGCACCCAAACCCATGTTCACTGCTAATCCTCTGCAGACCCTTTCTCCTCTGAGCAAGCACAAAGAAAGTGTAGGTGCATGCCTCCAAGATGTCAAATAAAGATGTTTTATTTTATTTTTTTTACTGTGCTGTGTTTAGGCCTGCTGAGCAATAAGGACTGGCTGGTTCTGACTTCTGCCAGATCAAGCATGTGCTTCATGTGGCACAGTTATAATGTCAATATAATTCATCTTCAGCTCCTAATAATTGAACTTACGAGTTGACTTTTGTACGTAATAGCAGCCAGTGCTGCAGTGGGAGCAGTTATCAGTGCTTTAAAAATAGACAGGGGTTGAGCAGGTTCGTCGTCCCTTTTTAGATGTTAGGTTTAGTTTTCGTGCATTTTTGTTACATTTAGCCCGAGGAAGTATTCAGTTGGACTAAAAAATGGAGAGCGGGCTGCCTACAACGCCGTCATTTAAATGCTTGTCACTCCACTCACTGAGCAGCTGATATTCTCCCTTGAAGGGCACCACTCCCAACATGTTGCTGCTCAGATTTGCTATAGTCATGTCAGTTATTTGCTAATAGAGTACTGCTCTTGTCTTGATTGTTGCTGTGTGACAGTATTTAAGGTAAAATGAAAAGAATGCCGAGCTCTGATCCAGTTTTTCCTGTCAAACATTCAGGGAACGTGCAGAATTACTTGTCAAAATAATCAACAAGTTAACCCCTAAAAGCAAACAGGAGCTTTAAACATCACTCTTTTTGATTACGACTGACTTTTTTTTTAAAAACATTTTTATCCCATATCTAAATCTACATCACTTCTAAGTTAGATAAACACTTGTGTATATTTTACTAACATAAAAGATCAATTCAACCAAACGGTATTATGTTTCAATCAATAAACAATATCTAAAAGACATTGAAGACCTAGCATTCCTTGACTAAGATCATCCAACGTTGAGAAATGACAAAGTTGTAGACATTTTGGTCAAACCTTGACAGTAACACCATGTGCTCAGAATATGTGTTGAGGACGACTCTCATCTATGACCACACCAAATTTTAGCTGAGTATCTGTAAAATTAGCTGAGTTATAGCCGGTTATTTGTTTTTCCAAGGGACACTTGGCTGGGGTGACCATTTTGAGGGTTGACTCCCAACATGCATCAGCTGTAGATGTTCAGTGATTACTTTCTGAAGGTCTGATTAAAATCCATCCTGTGGTTCGTTAGACATTTTCACTCTTAATAATGTGTGGCAATGGTGTGAAAAGTAAACATTGCAAAGCACTTTAAGCATAAGCTGTAAATGATTGTCAGCCACTATATTTTAGCTCAATATTCTCGTAATTTTCTCATAAGCTCATCATTTTATGAAATTAAAATAAAAACTGTGTTCTTATCCATTTTTTTCCAGTAGTACATCATAGTATTAATCCGTTGTTTCTGCCAGGGGAGATGATAGCTGCTTGGCATCGTTCGTCTTGTAAATTGGCTCTTATTATTCTTTGCTAGTGTCTGTAAGCGATGCCAGCGACAACAACAGCTCTTGATAACAAAACTGAAGTTGTGCAGTAATACTGGTAGCAGTGTGATTTCACACGTCACAAATCAACTGCTGCTTGGAAAGAGTCAGATTTGATACATGATTAAAACTTCAGTCTCAGAAAACAAAGAGCTTTTTTTTTTTTTTGTTCAATGCGATTTTACCAGTGAACAATTTTGTGTCACAAGTTTGAATAAATGGGCTAAAAATTCAATAACCTTGCCCTCGTATCACTTTAATCTATAAAATATTTAATATTTCTGGTGCATATACAACATATATAAGCATATTGATGTGTATTTGCTTTTAGCTTTGTTTCTTAAAATGCTTAAAGGGTTAAACTTATTATTTTCAAATGCATTTTTTATTTGATTAAAAATATATTTTTTTATGGTTCAGAGTATCTGATTTCTGTTTTTTTGTTTGTTTGTTTTGACAGGATTTGATTCTTATGAGGAATGAATGAAAGGACCCACTGTTCATATCACCACACCATTATTTATTAGAACTGAAGCCCAGCAGAAGAAAAAGCAATCTGATCTCTTCTGAGGTTCAGCGTTTTTATGGTCAGACATATAAGCAAACTCTTTCGTACAGTGCCTGTTTACAGCAGGATGAGCGTCAGACGGCTATGATGGCAAAAAAGCAAGATGCACGATCGCCCATCTACAACCTCATTGTGTTGGGTTTGTCGGGAACAGAAAAGGAGAAGGGGCAGTGTGGGGTTGGAAAATCCTGCTTGTGTAATAGGTTTGTACGACCGAGTGCCGATGATTTCTACCTGGATCATACATCAGTGTTGAGCACCAGTGACTTTGGGGGTCGAGTGGTTAACAATGATCACTTTCTGTTTTGGGGAGAGTTGTCTCGGGTCCTGGAGGAGGGGCCTGAATGCAGGATGCATGTTGTGGAGCAGACTGAATTTATTGATGACCAGACGTTTCAGCCACACCGTAGCACTGCTATGCAGCCCTATATCAAACGAGCAGCTGCAACCAAGCTGGCCTCTGCGGAGAAGCTCATGTACTTCTGCACAGATCAGCTTGGTTTGGAGCAAGACTTTGAGCAAAAGCAAATGCCAGAGGGCAAGCTGCAGGTTGATGGCTTCCTGCTTTGTGTTGATGTAAGCCGAGGCATGAATCGTAACTTTGATGACCAGCTGAAATTTGTCTCAAACATTTACAGTCAGCTTAGCAAGACTAAAAAGCCCATTGTGCTGGTGCTAACCAAATGCGATGAAGGGGTTGAACGTTACATCAAAGATGCACATACTTTTGCTATAACGAAGAAAAGCCTGCCGGTTGTTGAGACTTCGGCACGCTCAAATATAAATGTGGATCTTGCTTTCCTCACCTTGGTTCAGCTTATTGACAAGAGCAGGGGTAAGCCCAAGATCATTCCCTATTTTGAAGCCCTAAAACTCCAGAGTCAGCAGATAGCCTCCGCCAAGGATCGCTATGAATGGCTAATTAACCGTATAGTAAAGAATCACAATGAAACTTGGTTAAACGCCAGCCGACGAATGAACACCTCACCAGAATACAAAGAGTATGTGTTCTTGGAAGGAACAGCTAAATGCAAAAAGCTTTTTCAACAGCATGTTTACCGTCTGAAGCAAGAGCATATCGAGAGGCGCAGAAAAATATACTTAAGCACTCTCCCTTTAGCACTTAGTTCTTTGGTACCAGACCTTGATGAGATTGATCAGTTGAGCTGGTCTGGGGTGCAGAAAGTGCTAGAGTCCAAGCAACATTTTGCTCACTGGTTTGTGGTTCTGGAGGATTCACCATGGGAGGACACGTCTCATATTGATAACATGGAGGATGAGCGAATCCCCTCAGACCTACTCGAGACAGCCGAAGCGGAGGACATATTTAACGCCCATCTTGAACATCTTCGGAATGAGTGTAGGCGTGCAGAGATACGACAGGAGTTCAAGCACAAGTTGGCTTCCTCTCCCTTTGTCACACCTGGTAAACCTTGGGAGGAGGCCCGTAGCTTCATCATGAATGAAGAATTCTATCAGTGGCTTGAGGAGTCTGAGTACTTGGACCTGTACAACCGCCATCAAAAAGAGATTATTGACCGTGCTAAAGAAGACTTCCAGGAGCTTTTGCTTGAGTACTCTGAGCTGTTTTACGAACTTGAAGTAGACGCCAAGCCAAGCAAGGAGAAGATGGGGGCAATCCAGGAGGTTCTGGGTGAGGAACCAAGGTTTAAGACCCTACAAAAACTTCCTGCAGAAAGAGATGCTCTTGTATTGAAACATATTCACTTTGTCTATCACCCCACCAAGGAAACCTGCCCTAGTAGCCCTCATTGTGGAGACTACAAGATTGAGCAACTCCTAGCTTCACGTTTCCCCACATGTTACCCCTTCTTTGATGTAAAAGCTCATTTTGGGGACACCAAAGCTGACAGGATTAACCTTGTCATACTAGGGAAAGATGGGCTGGCCAGAGAATTTGCCAATGAGATTAGAGCTCTCTGCACAAATGATGACTGGTATGTGTTAGATGGGAAGATGTACGAGTTGACACTGCGGCCTATTGAGGGCAATGTGCGTCTTCCAGTAAATTCCTTCCACACCCCCACTTTCACCCCCCATGGATGTCTATGTCTGTATAATTCAAAAGAGTCCCTGTCCTATGTGGTGGAAAGCCTTGAGCGACTTAGGGAATCAACTCTAGGGCGAAGGGATAGCCAGCTGGCACAACTGCCTACATTTCTTCTTTTAGTCACTAAACGAGGTGTAGGGTCCTATGTTGATATAGGTGGAGACACTGCCTTAAACCTAATAACACAGGGACAGCAGTTTGCACGGCGACTACAGTGTAGCTTTTTAGACCCTGCCTCCCCTGGTGTGGGCTATGGTCACAATGTAAATGAGACACAAATTAACCAGGTGCTGAGGGGTCTTCTAGATGTAAGGAGGAGCTCATCTTTTAGTAGCAGCTCCCCACCTCTCCTCCCTGAGCCTCCTGGTCTCAGAGACTCTCCTCATCAGCCAGTCCAAGAAGCAGACCTACGCATCGTCATGTGCGTAATGTGTGGAGATCCCTATGACATTGAGCAGCTCCTGTCACCATTTCTAATGCCTCAGCACTGCAGGCCTATGTCTAATAGCGGTACCTCTGTGTTGCTGGAGCAGACAGTGGGTGGACACAAGCTGGCTATAGAGCTCTCTCTGCTTTCATATCATGCCTCCTTCACTTTGCGGAAGAGCAGGTTAGTACACGGCTATATTGCTGTGTACTCAGTCACCCGAAAAGCCTCCCTGGAGACGCTGTGTGCGTTCTTGTGTGAGGTTCAAGACATCATCCCCATTCAGCTATTGGCAGTAGGAGATAGCCAGGCTGAGCTCACAGACAGCGACTTTGCCTGTGAACAGCAGATTCAAGGGGAGGAGCTAGCTCATGAGATCGAGGGTCGTTTTAATAGTGTGGTTTGCGGATCTGGAGGAGTGGTGGGAGGCTTGCATAGGGTAGAAATGTTTCATTCATTTCTGATGGAGGTGGTGGAGAAACGTAACATTGTGGAGGCAACACACATGTATGATAATGTTGCTGAAGCATGCACCAATGAAAATGTATACTCCCCACGCTGCATATCTCCCAGCCCTGTTACCTTGTATGTGGACTCGGAGGATGACGTAGAGCCATCTCCACCTTACTATGATGGCACTCTCTCCTCTCATTCTGGGGGTTTCAACTTGCCTGACTTGGATTCCAGCGATATCTCTGTCATCTCTGACATCAGAGACTTTGAAAACAAGCTCAACAACAAAATATCCCCTCAAGTGAGAGTTAAACCAGGTGTCACATTTGACTTTCGGAAAGTTAGCCGTAACCCATACATTGATACACTGGGTCATCGTCGCTCCCTGCCCTCTGCCGTTACCTGGGTCCCTGGTGGGGATGTTGGCTATGACCCCTCAGACTATGCCGAACCCATTGATGCAGTTTCAAAACCTCGCCCTAGCAATGAAGAAATCATCTACTCAGTTCCACACGACAGCACACAAGGCAAAATCATAACAATACGCAACTCCAACCGGATGCATTCAAATGGAAATGGCTCAGACAGCGAAGCAGACAACAGCTCTCTGGAACGAAGGAGGAAGTTCTCTGCAATCGGGGTAAAGCCCCGTCTGTACCGGGATCGCTCAAAACGGCTCGGCAAGTTCAGCAGCTTCCGCACAAGCTTCATCGGCAGTGACGATGAAATGGGAGCTCTGTCAAAGTCCAAAGAAGATGACTTTGGTACCTTAAAAGGTGACAGTCTTGTTAATGAGGAGAGTGAAGACCCAAAGAAGAGGAACATTCTCAAGAGTCTCAGACGGACAGCCAAGGTGTGTATTGTTCCAAGAGTTTATTTTTATAAACTCAGCTTTTTGTTAGACTTTTATATTAATAAGCACTTTTTAAAGACTTTCTTTACCAGTGTCCTATTGAAGTAAAATATTCATTATTAGAGAATTTGATATTTTAAATAACACTACCAAAAAATATAAATGGAACTTGCCTATCAGAATTTATTTGGTATAATTTCCACGTGAAGGTTTGAAAATGAGCTGCCACCATAAAAGTAAATTTATGTATTCATGAATTTTCTGTTTGAAACTCATCAGACCTCTTGTATTATTCTTCTTACAGAAAACAAGACCAAAGCATCGTCCAAGTATCCCTAAACCCATAGAGAGCATGTATTTTGGAGTCCCCCTGGTGAATGTGGTCTCCCCAGACAGGCCTATTCCACTTTTCATTGAGAAGTGTGTCCGCTTTATAGAAACAACAGGTGAGCTCTTTTTTTCTAATCTAAAATCGCACAATTCACAATTTTGAGCTATGTGCACTGTAACAAAAATGATTTTCAAAATGAGCTGGGAGACGTTTTTCTTCTGTGAAACCATTCATGTAGACTATAATCATTCCCCCCACTTAGATTAAAAAGAATAACTCAGACTGTTTGAAGTAGGGATTTGTGGAAAGGTTAAGAACAATTATTACCTTACCTGTGTAGATGGGTCTTTGAACAACGTTGGTTTGGAGGAATGGAGTTTAATTCTGACAAGATTGATGAGCTAACAGCTAATCCGTGTGTGGCCAAGGCTAAAGTGGATTATTTTCATTCTAAAACAACTTCAATCTTTAAAAAATCTGTGGTAGTTCATGCAAATACCATTTTATAAATCTTGCAGTAAGTTTAGTGTTATTTATTTATTAACCTTAATTTAACCAGGCAAATCCCATTGAGATCACAGATCTCTTTTGCAAGGGAGGCCTGGACCTGAAGGCATGCATGTTTTTGGTCTGTGGGAGGAAACCGGAGTACCCGGAGAAAACCCACGCAACCGTGAGAAGAACATGCAAACTCCACACAGAAAGACCCCAGGTCCAACCGGGGATTGAACCTAGGACCTTCTTGCTATGAGGCAACAGTGCTAACCACTGAGCCGTCGTGCTGCCATTAATGTTTTGTGCTAGCAGTAGCACTTCTGAGGCACTCGTTGGCAGGAATATCAAAATATTTTTGGTGGAACAGCCATGTAATGTGAAACTAATTATAATTATTTCTTGTCATATGGCGGCTATGATACAAGATGGCTGACTGAAAGTTTTTATCTTGATGTCTTGTTTCATACTGGCTGCAGATACAGCTGATGTTCGGACTTGTTTTTCAGACCCATCCTTGCATTAAAATGTTATCTCGTATTCTGTTGGGAACAATGGTGACTCATTCATAAAAGGCCTTCAAAGCAGCCACATGGACAGGAATCAGCAGTAACAGCGGTAGCTGCTGTCCAAACTGCCACCAGCAAACTGAAAAACTGAGTCGTTGCTTACGTTCAAGAGGGTGAAGCAGATGAAGGTCACAACATGTTTTTTTTTTCCTAGCCAAAACCTACACAATTCATTTTTCATGCCGGAGATGAAAACGTGTTCAGATGACACCCACCCATACATCCATTATCTTTACTCGCTTCTTCCTTTGCGGGTCACGAGTCACTGGTGGCCATATCCAGCAGTCACTGTGTGAGAGGTACACCCTGGACAGGTCTGAAGTCCATCACAGGGACACATAGAGACGAACAAGACAAACAAACCCACCACAGCTTATTTTCAAGTGAATTGTGACCAGAATTTTAAATATTGAGATAAATGTATAAAATTGTAATCTCTACAAGTAAAGGTTTAATTCTCAGGGTGCTTTGAATGCTGCATTTTCTTTTTTCCCTAGCTTTTGTGCTGAGCAGACATGCTAATGACATATATGTTGCAGACACAAAGTCAAGTTAGAGTTTATAGAAGTGGCCATTTGCAGTAAAGGAGACATTATGTTACTGAATATATCTGGGGTTTAAACTTTCATAGCTGCGAGAGCTTGAAGAGGTTTATTTGGAGGTTGGGAAGCGGCATAAAGAGGCAAACTCATACCAGGCAGTGGCTTGTCCGAGGAGCTGCATGGAAAAGAGTTGGTTTAATAAAAATAATAAAGTTTTTAAATAGGATATTGAGCTTTAACCTCCATTGAACTGTCATGAACTGTCATGAAAACTGGCCTTTATTCTAAGCTTTGGTGTGATGCAGTAAAAACACAATACAAGGGTATATTATATTAAATGAAATGCTTTCTCAAAAACCGGCAGCATCTGTACTGTCATGTCTGTTTGCAAAAGGCCTAATGAAGTATTTGTGCTTTGCTTGTTTCCCACTGTGTCGCCCCACCCACCTCTTCCCCTCTTTTCTCTGCTCTGCTCTTTTTTTTTCCTCCAGGCCTGAACACTGAGGGTTTGTATCGTGTAAGCGGCAACAAGTCTGAAATGGAAAGCATGCAGAAGCAGTTTGAACAGGGTGAGCTGCTCATCGGGGCTCTTTAAACCAACTGTTTCATGTGTAATTATGTCACCGGCTAGTCAAAATATAAACAGCGTTATCAAAGGAAAGTGACAATCAGTTGATGACAGCTGCTCCGGATGCGGTTATTTTCTCATGCGAGCTCTTTAACTAAGTCATTCTTCCTGTGCAGACCACGGATTAGACCTGGTGGAGAAAGACTTCTCCATAAACACTGTGGCTGGAGCTCTCAAAAGCTTCTTCTCCGAGCTGCCTGAGCCCCTGGTGCCTTGTGCTCTGCAGGTGGACCTATTGGACGCTTTCAGTAAGCAAACACTGCTGGGCTGGGAGGGTCTGCTCTCCGACATAAAACGATTATTTCTTTTAAGGAGGGAGGGGAAGGTTTCAAGGCTTTGCTTTTGTTTCGTGTGTTTTTGGTCTGAAAGGGAACTATTTTCCTGATGGTGCAGAGGCAAACGTTAGCTTTGAATTGATTGTGTTGGATTACGAGGCTTTAGCGGTGACAGAAGACTGTGTGTGTGCAGAAATCATGGACAGAGAACAGAGGCTTTACACCATGAAGGATGTCCTGAGGAAGTTCTCCAAGGAGAATTATGATGTCTTCAGATATGTCGTGAGCCACTTACACAAGTGAGTTTTTCATCTAAGTATTGTTTAAATCAGTGGTTCCCAACTCTGATCCTTGAGGAACACCATCCTTAATGTTTTAGTTGTTTCTCTGCTCCAACAGCCCTGACTCTGATTTAATTACTTCCTCAAGTTCTGCAGAAGCCTGTTAATCACCCATTCATTTAAATCAGGTGTGTTGGAGAAGGAACCAGCTAAAACACGCAGGATGGTGTTCCTCAAGGGCCAGAGTTGGGAACCTCTGGTTTAAATGTTGGATTTGTTTTTGTGTGAGCCAACGTGGTTTTTGTGCGTTTTTCCAGGGTGAGCCAGTTTAACAGGGTGAACCTGATGACCAGTGAAAACCTGTCCATCTGTTTCTGGCCCACCCTCATGAGGCCCGACTTCTCCACCATGGACGCCCTGACGGCCACGCGCACCTACCAGACAATCATTGAGACGTTCATCCACCAGTGCGCGTTCTTCTTCTACAACCAGCCCCTTCTGGACTCCCCCACGGGCCTCCCCGCCTCGCCCACCACCACCCTTGGCGGAGGCTCCGCGTACTCCTGCTACCGCTCATCGCCCCCACACACCGCGGCCCACTTCAGCCCTCTGCAACAGTCTCCGCCCACCACACCACAGTCGCCTCTGCAGTCTCTGCTCCCTCCCCTCCACCAGCACCCCCACTCCCACCATTCTCCTGCTGAACAAGAGACACTGTGAGAGACAATGAAACCACGTGTGCCCATGATGATGCTGGACCTTATCACTAACACACACACATAAAAGAAGAAAAAAACACTTACACCGCTTTGTTTTGATCATGGACAACCTGGATTATGAAGACGGGAGATGGAACGAGTGGAAGAAGATAAAAAAACTGCTGTTTGTTGGTGTAGTTGGGTGAAACGTGGCAGGCTCCGAGTGTCCGTCAACAACCACCTCTTATACTCCACTACCAAGAAATAGACACCTCCAACTCAAGCTGAAAGAGATGATTTGTGGCCACCATGTTTTTAATATGTTTAAAACTTTATGTTTGAAAGTATTGCCACTGGATTCATGGACCGGTCCTCTGCAGGTCCTTCGGGCAGCAGTTTTGCTGCATCGTAGCAGAGGTTCCTCTGTGTCCAAGGAAGGAAGCGCGGTGGGATCACATCCAGGGATGCACTTTAATTATCACATTATTATAATTTTTTTATAAATACTGCTTTCGTGTGTTTTTATTTTCTCAGCTGAAACAGCCATACCCATCGCCTCGACAAACTTTCAGGCAGAATCTGAATTTGTTTACATCAAAACTTTTTTTTTTTTTTCCACAAACATATCTGAAGCACTTTTTTGATAGTGTAGTGTTAAATATGAAGAAATGCCACATCGATTAATGGTCCATGCTGTTTGTTCAGTGGCTGAATGTGACACGAGCGCAGATTTGTTTTAACGAGATCCTTCTTTTTTTGTATTTAAAAAAAACGACGAAAATTTTCCATCTGTTAATCGGATCCAGGGGGTCCAGTTTCAGGTTGAAGGGAAAACCTGAATCTGCTCATGTTCTGCATTCATCCAGCAATGTGCGAAATTGTTTTAATCTCTTCTGTCTAGCTGTTTATTTATCCCAATGGATGTGGGGTTTTTTTTTGGGGGGGGGGGGGGGGGGGGGTTTCACAATTAGGCTGTTGTATCATCAGAGAAGTTTGCCTGCCTTCAGTGAAAGAAACGTTTGAATGTGTAACTTACTAGTTGTACCACAACAAATTTGCATCACCATTATCCGGTGTCCATGGGAACCAAGTGCTTGAAACGCGATAGGCTGCTGGATGTGTTGCTGTGCTATCAAACCAAGCTCTTTGTAGTCATGTAATATTAAGAACCTTTAAACTCTGAAGGTTTACTCTTCTCCAAACACTGTTACTGCTGGTCCTGCTAAACCACCAATTAGCCAAGAGAAGTTCTGGAAGCATCTCCGGCTGCTTCACTTGGTTAGTTTTGTGCTCTTCACTTTCTCAGACATGCAGCACTTTTTTTTTTGTGGCAGCTCTGCTAATGAAGGCCCTGAAACTTTATCCATTATGCCTAAAAAAAAAAAGAAGTAGCCTGCTGTTTTGTTTTTTTTCCATGGGG